ACGGAGAAGAGAGACGTCTGAGAGTTATAAAACTCTGCACGTGCATATATATATACACGTATATGTGTATTGCGTGGTGGCGCGATCGTTTTGAATAATCGTATCGGCGGGATGGAAACCCGCTCAACTTTTAACAAACAAGTCCCAGCCGAGTGGTCCGCTTCCCTTTTTCCGTCGCCCAATCATAAAAGCTTTTTAGTTGCAGCGAAGCTCTTTGACTCGGAGGATCTCTCTATATAGGCACCGTTTGCGCGAAATCATAGCCGAAACTCGTTATGCATTATTCGCCGACGCGCGCACGCAGCTTCTCTAATTGTTGCAAATACACTCGTGACCGTGTCGTTAAAACCCTTGGCAAGTCCATATCGGATCTTTCTCTTGGGTGGCATGGCTACGAAGACCCCCTGTGTTACGCTCTCTTTGTTGTAGCTATGTTACACTGGCGGCGCCGTCGATGCCTTTACTCCCCGTTTTTCACGCAGTATACGTAGAGTTGAGATAAACATCGTCTTCGAGGCTCTCCCGAGGGGAGCACTCGTTCACGGTTCGAGTGGAGCTCCCCTCTACAAGTACACACAGATAGGTATCTCGATATTAATTTTTTAACCATTTTCACGGTAATTTCTTTTTTATCGCACCTATACTGAAATACTAAGATTTATTTGCCTGTCTACATATTATATCGTTGGCGTATTTAATATTAAATCTCTTTCCTTTGTGCTCGAGACTCGCTTTTCTCACCTATAATGACAAATTCGGTACACGTGTTCTTGCAAAATAATCTATTCGTCGTCGATCGCAACGTAAAGATTATATCTCAATATATATCAATATATATAGTCCGTGGGCTCGTGAATAAAAAAGTTGGGGGAATTTACCCAATAGGTATATATACACGATCCCCGATGGCAGCGACAACAATAACAGGAGACGAACCGAATGCTAATAAGTACCCGAAATGGGTACACGCGGCAAACAAAACTCCCCTGCAACTGCGGGGGTGGCGAGGCATAAAAAAACCAAAACCTCGCTCTCGAGTGACACGTACTGCGGCACCCGCAAACTTTTTCGAGAGAGAGAGAGAGCCCCGCGTCGTTAGCGCAGGACAGCGGAAAAAGAGGGGGGAGGGGGTGAAGCCCCGGTAGGGAGAAGGGGCGGTTGCGCCTAATAAATACGATAGCACTCCGGAAACGGGCCTCTGCGGTCTCTGTAAATGTATACGTGTACGGCCGCGCGTCGGTGCGCGAAAATCCCGATTTCCTCCCCGGCACATGTAGAGCATCGCGCGTTAACCCGCCGAGAAAGTAAAGAAAGAGGAGGCAAAGCAGCCGGGACAATAGCTCTGTCGGACGGAAAGAAGGGGGGGGGGGATAGTGGAGGAGGCGAGTAGGCTCGCGCCCCCTTTGGCGAGCAATTTGGGGGCCAACGCGGGGATTTTTGTATTGTCGTCACGTGCCCGAAATCTTATTACCGGCACACGTGGTGTAATATTCCCCGGCCGCCTTTGCTCGGCTGTGCATTAGCGAGGGGGGGGGGCTCCCTTCGGGATGCGCCGGTCCTAACTCTCTCTTTTTCCGCTCGCCGATGCCACCATCTCATCGTCCGATCGGCAACTACCAAAGTTTGCGCGGCTACGTGCACTATACATATACCACAGTATACATTGTGTCCCATCCACCAATCTTCTCCGCAGCGAGTGTATATAGGTATGCGTATGTATTAGACTTTGCTTCCGAGTTTTCCTCGAGCTCCCGCTTCTTGTATATATCTCTTTACGCGCGTAAGTAACGACATCGGCTATGAGCACGGAGGCGAGGGTCTTCTTCCTTTTTTTTTTTTCTCCCTCGATGCCTCCTCCCATTTTTTTGCAGCGGCAAGTGGCTTTCCTCTCGTTTCTTCATCCTCGATCGTCCAGAGTCACAACACTGACAGTCGGGCCTGAACGTGATCAAACTCCCAACTCGCGCGATTCACCCATCCCTCATCCCTTTTTTTTTTCTTCTTCTTCTTCTCTGATAATTATTACGTGCGTATACGTGGGCGTGCGTGCACCGACTGATAGCGTTTCTCACGAAGAGAGCTGTACCTCGAACCGGAGAAGAGAGGAGGAGGAGGAACAACTTGAATAAGTGAAAATGAGAAATATTTCGGACCCGCAGGGAGGAAGCATAACACGCAGCGGTCGAGGGGCCGGCTCTATTGTCGCTCCGGGAATGCCGAGGAATGCCGGCCGGCGGTATATGTACGTGTACACCCTCGATATAAGAACTCGGGGCTTTATTACGAATTGAGATTTCTTTTGTTTACTCGCCATCCGGTTCCTCTTTTTCTCCTCCTCCGTCGTATCTATACGCTTTTAATTGCCAGCGAGCCCTTCGATCCTGCACGTTCGCCACGTACGACGAATTTTTTCCTCCTTTCTTGCCCATACTCACCACCTCCTGCCGCCTTCGTTCTGCCTCCTCTTGCATTCGGATCGCGACGATGTGTGCCCGTCCGTTTGTAGTTGGGCTCTTTTTCTGGAAAAAAATTTCCGTGCCCCGCTGGAATCCAAATGAGAAATTTTTCCCCAACTCCGAGGGGATGCTTTTCGACGACTCTTGCAGCGCGTGGACTTTACCAAAGTGTAGCGAAACTGCAAAGTCGCCCACGATTGTTTGTGAAAATTTCTTCCTCGAGCTCCGCTTGTTGTGTCGACGATTAGCTCTTTCGCTGATTTCTCGGTTTCGAGCAAATAAAATAGCTTTTTTCAATAAAATTATCTTTTATTTTTTTTTCATCTCATTGGTGTAAGTGTTTCATTTCGAGCGGAATTTCTGTAATTTCGTTCAGTTGGGCTGCCCCGAGAGAAAATCTAGATTAGATCTCCTTCTCACGTAATAGCGGAATCGCGCAAAAAGCACGCAACCGTGGAAAAATGCCAACTCAAAACTGGTTTAGTTTTTTTTCTTCCCTCCCTCCCCGAGAAAAGCTAGGTCGTTGGAAATAGAAAATTTTTTTCCGTCAAACGTAGCATTTCTCGAGAAACCGTGTAAATATTTCAGCAAAATAAGTCCTATACGATATTACAGATGCCCACATATATACAACCAATAATAGCGGAGCAGAAAATCGATTTTTTTCTTTATTCGCTCTCGTGAGTACATACAGCTTGTGGAAAAACCCCAAAGCCAGTATAAGCGTACGGTTCGGTCATTTCCTCCCAAATCAAAAATCGACTCGCATCCAGCGGGCTATAATAGATTTACACAGGAAAACACGTTTTCCAGTGCTTTGCGTGCGTGTATACAAATAAAATAAAAGGCGCGCGGCCGAGCCTCCATTGTGCGGGGCCGTGTACGTAATAATATACAGTCCAAGGGTTGACCGTGGCTTCGTGGACGTGAGGCGCCTCGGTAACAAGGACGAACTTGGCTTAGTCATATTCCCTCCCGTGTGGCATTCGAGACCCTTTGAAACTCGAACTCCAAAACACCTACGCTCGGGCACATTACGGACACACGTGCACACGTATAGACCAGCTTGACGTACGCCCGCGCCGTACGGGTTTCCTCGCCCCACCGCTCTTATGTATATATTTCTCTCTCCGCTCGACGTGACAGGGACATTTTTTTTTTTTTTTTCTCCAGAACGGACCCTCTCTTTTTCCCGGAACTCATTCTTGCTGTTGCGGATGATTCGCCGCTGTTATTAATCAAGGAAACTATTTTTCGTTTCCCCCTTGTTTTCGGGCGACGGGCTGCTCTTTTGACCCGAAATTTACGCAGACGCGCGGAGCGAGGGTTATTTATGAATGTATTATTGCTCTCGGACCTGGACTCTCTCTCTTTTTTTTTTTTTTTTCTTTTTTTGTCGGAGGTTGGAAATTTGATTTTCGTTTTGCACGTGGGCACCGACTGTTTAGGGGCGAGGAAAAAAAATGAGCTCCCGGATGGACTCGTGGATTATCTAGATTTCGCGTCCACAACGAGCGGGTCGCCGATCTAGTGCGGGACGATATTTTTTAAAGGTTACCGTCATTTTTTGCTGTAAGCCCTCAAAAGTACTGGGCAAAGACACACGCGTGGGAGTGTTGTGTGAGTCAGAGATAGTGAGACCGATAGATGAAAAATATTTATTAATAGTTATTAATTTAACTTTAATTAAACAAAAGTGACGAATTTTTTTATGTGTGCTGTGAGTTTTCGTATGTTATTAAAAATAATTTTCAGTAGTGATACTTGAATCTACTTGTTTTATTAGTTTTTCTAAGTAATATGCAGCTTTATTATTTTATTATTAAAGTAACACACTTGGATTAACAGTGTACTTACGAATGTTTAGAATCTCGGAACCTGCCCCTGTCCTCGTTAGCCGAGTCTTCCGTTTCCTCCTTCGTTCCCGCGGAGCCGACATTTTCTCGAAAGAAGTGTATTCATCATCAACTTTTCTGCGCGCGAGTATTTGCGTAAGGGCATGCATGGACGTAAATTACCCACAAGAGTTAAAACACGCTGTAATAATAAATCACAATTTAAAGTTACATTAGACCGAGTCGTATTTCATTCTCCTCGGGAAAGTAGGTCTCGCGCTGAACATTTTCGGGGGATTTATCAAAAATATATACGTATATAATATATTCCATAAATGTACAATCATTTTGTGGCGGTTCCGGTTGTTCCTACATTCAGTATCACGTTAAATGTCAGGATTTTAAATTAAGACGTGCAAAATTTCAATCGACCGTAGACTGCGAATCCCAAAAACACGAATACATCAGGGATGATTACTTTACACGTGCATCGGTTATGTGCCGATAATGCACTGATGGTACGACTTGGTACAGTGGAATATTTATCACGTTCGGTCTGTGGCCCAAGCTAAAGATTATACCTTCGAGCGTAGTGCACTTGTCATTCACACGTAATACTTATATAAATCAAAGCAATTTCTTATTTATGGTAGATGTATGTAAGGATGAAGCAAACGAAACTCAGCCTCTTGTTCTCTTTCTGTCGCAGGTTACCACCTCAGCAGCAGCAGCAGCAGCAGCAACAAGTGCCAGTGGGCACACTGGGCCCGGGAGCTGGAGCAGCGGGAAGCGGGGGTTCGGGTAACGTGGTGCCCCAAGCGCAGCCCCTGGTCATGCCGGGCTTTCCCATGAGGGCGGCGGCCGTGCCCCACTACTCGCCCTACTCGCCGTCGCGCTTCCACATCGACAAGCGCTGCCAGCACCGGTGCTCCTGGAAGTGCTTCAGCATCGCCCTCATACTCGTCACCGTGGCCCTCGTCGCGATGCTTACCTACTGTGCTAGTGAGTTTACATTTGCTACGCTACCATTGGGACGTATGAATGAAATTACTAAGAAATATCTAGTTGAAGATCGGAAAAATCTTCTTTTTTTTTTCGTATCGCACACACTTTGGAGATACTCACGACAATTTGTGTCTTCCACAAGCTATGGTGGAAAAATACGTGAGCATTCATGAAGTAACGTTTGACGCCTTTTTTTATTTATCAAGTTGTCACTTTGAAAAGTCTTAATAAATTACTGTGGAGTTTTTTTCTCAAGCTAAAACCAAAATAAAGTTTTTATAGCAAAATACACGCAAAAACCTTAAAAAAAAAAAGTCAGATAGTGTCACGCGTTACGTAATTTATGTTCTAAAGTTGTGCCTGTAAAAAAACAATTTTTCCGATTCCAACTCCTATATATCGCTAGCATAATCTCTCGCGTGATTTGCGTGTGCGAGTGTGGTCGAAGGAGATTGCTCTTGGAATTATAACTTTGAGCACCGGGTCGTCGTGATTTACTTTGATAATTTTTTTCATCAGTCTTTGTATATTCATCTCAAACTCACGCGAAGGGCAATGCATGCAAATCCTGGCACATCCAGCTTTTCTAACGTAATCATCAGTGTAAGGTATCCGAGTAAATATTACGAGCTTGAGGGGAAATTAGCGCCCTTAAGCGAGAAAAAACTCCCCCAGCTCGAGTTAACTAGATAGCGTTTCAAGCGTGTGTCAACACGTTGTGAGTAGACAAATTAAACGCACGCCCGCAACGATAGGGTGTATCTAGCATTTTTTTTTTTTTTTTGTTATGACGGAAAAGTTTTTAACTATAAAAGTTACGAGTGCCCTCGGTGTTTGTTCGAGTTGTGTACTTCATAACGACGTACGTACGGGCGATAAATTTATTACAAAATTAAATCATTCGAGCTGCAATTCAGACAATGAAATTTCCAAATTGTTGAATTTGAATAATTTATCACGTGCTGATGATACGAGCGTAATAAGTCGAATGTAAAATTTTATTGATGTTCTCTCGAGTGCATGATTCACGTTTTCGAGGCGCTTTTGTGTACATATATTTCCCCGTGAGCAGGAAGGTCGTAATTTTCGGTCCATAGAAAAAAAAAGCACCGTATAGCAGATATATATATTCATTTTGACATTTACATTTAGAGTCCCGCATCCACACAAAGCGAACAAAAAAACAGTCACGTAGAGGGTTTTTAAACACATTTGTACATCCGAGAACGCATCAGGCATTGTCAAAAATACCGAATTTAAATACTCAATTATGGACACATTAAAAGGCGCTTTTCCCGTTGAAATACACATAATATTCCGAAATTCTCCATACGCCGTCCCCTTCTCCGGCGTATAAGTAGCAGCGCAGGGGCTAACGACCACGAGCCTCCGAGAGCCCGGTGTCGGGGGGCGTTGAGAGTCACTTGAGACACATTTATCATTTCCGAAGGCTACACCGAGCGGCGTCCGATTTCTTTCCTAATTAGCCGTAACTGCACCGGCCGACGCGAAACGGCTAGGATTTTTCACAATTCATAAATAATCCGATAACGAAGACGATGTGCCGCTGTGCTCTCTCGCGTTATTGAATCGTTAAGTTTCTTTTTTTTCTGTCTTCGCCCTCGCCGCGAACGAAAGCCCATAAATTCTCCCCCGCCCCCAAAAGGGGGAGATAATATGACCTGGAGGAGACGGAGAAATTGCTCGCACGGGCGTTAATAAAAGATAACGTCACACTTACGCCGCGTGGCGGCCGGGAAAACTTTTTTTTTTTTTTTTTTCCTCCTCCTCGTGCTCTGCGAATAATACACGTCTACTTGCACCGGGTGACGGTGCAATAAACCATCTGGCGGCCAGCTGTGATTTCCCCGCGCCATTTGCACCCCATTGTTTTGCACTCTGCGGATTTCTCGGAGACGCTATAGCTCACCGCAAACAAAATAAAAGAAAGAAGGCGTCTCGAGACTCGAAATGTTTGAAACACATACTCGGGTACTCACTTGCAGTCAGTGCGTGTCGTTGAAATAAAGGCCAGAGAGGGGGGGGGGTGTAGCGCGCGATCGACAATCAATCGGGGGATCGTCACGTAGAGGGAATTCGATGGGCTCGAACGAGCGTGTCTCGGGGGCTGGCGCTATCTCTTTGGATGCGAGAGGCGCGCTCGGGGTAATCAGGGCACAAAGCCGCGCCGAGCACGCGGGGGGCTTTGGAGAAATCGTCGGAGAAAAGTCGGGGCAATTTCTCGTTCCCGCGCACACGCGCGCGGCATACTTATACACTACACTCGTGACTGCCGTATTATTTATGGCATTATTGTACACCGCGGCGCGGGAGATGCTACTTTTGGCCCCGGCGTGATATTTGCTCTCGGGTGAAACGAACATTAAAAAAGAGCATCTCGTCTGCAAAAAAACGTTTTTCCTAGTTGGAGCAACAACGATTGTCATGCCATTTTGCACGACTGGAAATGAGATAACTTTTCTCTTGGCTCCGTCTCTGCAGAGTTTTGATACTATTTGAAACTGATAAAACTCGTTTGGCGAATCGCTGTCGATGACGGGGCCGTTAATTAAAATTTTTCCTACCTCACGGAAAAATTGGGATGGGACAAGCATCAAAACGAGTGTAGATGACGTTCACGCGATAAATGAGAGTGTAAAGAGCGTCCGTCACGTCTATATGTATAGTATATACCTGTACTCGTGGGGCTCGGCGATCGGATGACAAAAGCCCCCCCGACGACTGTACCAGTCGAAGACGAGCGAAGAAGCCGAGAGGCAACTGTTGGCTTAATCGAATTCAGCGCCTGAATATTCATAAGCGCGTCCGCGACGATCCATCGGGTATATCGGATGAACGAGAGTGAGCGAATAAGAGAGGAATGGGATATTGAAAAAATGCATTTGATTGTATTAACGAGGTGTCCGTGTGTTTTCAGCTGTTAACTCCATGAACAAAATCGACACGACGAATTGCGGCCTGGTGCAAGACGTCAAGAGTGTCGCCAACGAAAATGCAAATCCGCACGACTCGATATCCACGCAAATTCCAACCGAAGGTGAGTTTCCAACAATCGATCGCACCCCCCTCGGGCCGGTGTTGCCGAATAACCCGTTACACCGGCGCACAGCCCAAACTCGGCAAACATCCTTGCAACGCCAGCGCCACCGTGCCCCTTTTTTTTCTCCCTCCCTCCTGTGTTTTTTCCCTCGAGCGACGTGAAAAATAATATTTGGTCATCCACGCAGGAGGGGGAGGGGAAAAAGTTTAATTATTTCACTCGGGCGACACTCCGTCCCGGGAAAGCTGCTTGCGGAGGACAAAAACAATGTTTGCTCGTCGCGTGGGCGGCGATCGATACACGCGGATGACACACGGGAAAAAGTTCTCGAGAGAGCATTTTCCTTCACCTCGTCGTACAAAGAGTAGCTCTCAGAGTCTGTGACCCCCTTTCCTCCGGGCCCTCGGTATTTATCCCTAACCCAACACACCGAGAGCCATTAATATGCAGATGGTATGCGCGATCACGTTCTCTCCCCCTCTCGCCCCGGCTTAGCGCAATATTGATCATTAACGCGCACCTCTAATACCCCGTATATATACATATATTATACTCCGGCCGCGCCATTTTTCCCGAATCGCCGCCTTTTCGACTTAAAATTTGAATTTATATTATAATTTATCTCCCAACCCCTTCCGCGGATTAATTCAAATTGGCCAGCAACAATATATATATATGCCGCTGTTATTGTTGGGAGGAAAAATTTTCGGCTCCTCCCACCCGCGGAGCTTGGATCCAGACTCGAGTGGGTCGCGTCAAAGGAGTCGTGGACCTACGTAACACAAATAAATTATACCCCTTTGTGGCGCATCCTCCGTGAATTCCGGACAAAGGCGGGGGAGAGGACAGTGGAAAAAGGAGCGGGATAAATTTTTCCGTTTGTACGGTTAAAACGCGAGCGTAATCGTGACAGATTTTACTGCCACGCTGCAGGTGCGTGCCCCCCCCCCCTTTTTTGCCTTTTCCTTTCTTTGGGTGTCTCGTGCCGCATCGCGACAATGGGACGGGGAAGCGACGGCCCGCACAGCAAAAAAAACAAAGAAACAAAAGGCGCGTCAAAGAAGTATTAACTGTTTATACATCGTGCCCCCACGCAACTCGTCGTAATGCCTGCACTCGGTGTCGGTTTAATTTACTTTTTCCTCCCCCTCGCAAAGAAGAGAGCGACAAGATGTCAAATAAACGCTTTTCTCCTTCCTCAACTTGTATTGCAAACGCTATCCCGAGGAAAGAAATTGCCAGTGTTTTTGCCACCTGTGTATAGAAATCACTTTTTCCCCTGTGTACGCTCACGTACGGGGTGGCGCAGCAGTTTTACGGAAAACGGATTTAGATAAAACTTTCGAGCTAAACAATAAGAGGGCCCGGAAAAAATGGGGAAGGGGGAGAGAGAGGGGGGACCCGCATCCTGCGTTTTTGAGATAACCCCGGTGCCATTAAGGCTGCCATTTTTACTTTATTTCCCAATAAAGTTCGTACGGCCCGCGAGTTTCGGGAACAAAGGACACGCGAAATAAATCCACGTATCTCGAAACCTTTTATTGTCTTCCCTCTATCTCGGAAGTTGGGGAAAAAAAAAATATATATATTTGTGTACCCCATGCGATGTACATATATACATACCCGAATTTCCCGATCAAACGGTCCAGCAAGCTTGACGAACGTGTAAACAAAAGGTGTGGGTCCTTTTTTCAGAGAGCCTACCCACGAGCACGGCGGAGCACTCGAGCTCGGCCGACCTGGCGGACCAGCAGCAGCAGCAGTCGTCGTCCCAGCAGCAACAGCAGCAGCCACAGCAGAGCGACCCCCAGATCCAGCAGTCGGCCCAGCAATGGCCGGCCGTGCGCGAGCTCCAGTCGTACAACGTCGCCCACTCGGCCGTGATACCCCCGTACCACTTTTGGAGCACCGAGTTCCGCAACAAGCAGCCCGCCTTCATCCGGCTGAACCTCACCCTGCCCTGGGGCGCGAACTTTGCCGTGTACGGCCGGCGCAACGTTGCCCCGAGCGTCACCCAGTACGACTTTGTCGAGTTCGTCAAGGGCGGCAGGCTCGACCACCGGCTGAAGCGGGACGCCCTCAGGGACCACGTGAGCTTCACGAGGACCCAGGGCGCCCAGCCCCCGTCGGAGGAGGGGCCCTCGATGGTGCTGCAGCACCTGCTGTACAAGCGCTCGAGCTTCGAGTCGATGCTCGTCAACGTCAGCCTACTCCAGTACCTCGACACCGGCCGCTGGTTCATCTCGGTCTACAACGACGAGCTCCAGCCGTACAAGGTCACGCTCATCGTCGCCGAGGCCGAGGGCGTATCCACCACCTGTCCCAACGACTGCTCCGGCAGGGGCTCCTGCTACCTCGGCAAGTGCGACTGCATCGACGGCTACCAGGTCAGTCATGTGTCACCATTATCATCGAATGTCTCGCTCGATGGACATTGCGGCTCCAATCCACGAGTATTCCGTGACTTGCGTGGAACGGATCGACGCTGCTCGTGATGCCCCAATCAAAACGTCTTTTGCTGCTTCGAGAAACTCGATCCAATTTTTTCTCACGTGTGTAGGTTTCGGTGCGGTATGGCCTTTTAAAAAAAAAATATTCAATTAAGTTGCCCGCGTTCTCGCAGAGGTGAATAATATCCACCGCGACAATTAAATTTCACTCGGATGTGACGTACGTGTACATAAATATATTGTGGGGAGTTATTTTGCGGGCCGAAAGTCACGTTGGATCGGGGAAACGCGCGCCGAATGGGCACCGCCGAAATTAATAATAACAACGCGACAGCGAAATCTCATCTTCAGTTTGTAGCTTTGCCGGTGGGGCGCGAGAATGCACGTCTAAACACGGGCCGGAATTGCCAGGTTTCCTGCGGACGGGAAAAATATCAGGAGCATCAGCGGTGCGCGCGGACGAAAAAAAAAAAAAAAAAAAAAAAAAAAAAAAAAAAAAGCGCACGAGCCGAGCCGGCAGAATGAATCAGGATGCCCGAGAAATCTCGAGATTGAAATTAAAAATTCAAGCCATGAAAAATTCAAGGCTCGCTCAACTTCGATCGTCCCTGCATGGACTCTTTCTTCTTTTTCTTCTTCTTCTTACTTCAGCGCGAGAGCTAGCACTATATAGGTAACCCCACTGCTACACACGTATACATATACACACGTACCTACGTACCGCAACTCATTACTTAGGTTATACCGCAGATCCTACAATGCATATACCGTACAGCACGCCAGACAATTTCCTCGGCCGTGTATTATTGTAAAGCAAACAGCATCGCGGGGCTCCGAGGGCATCACGTGTGTACCTACTAATTATAATTAAACAACTGCAACATTTGTCGCTTACGGCCTAACTCTACTCGCTCCCACGGCCGGCAATGGGATACATATTAAACCCACCAAAATATATATATATGTACTTGGAGTATGGAGCTGTTTTTGTTTTCATCCCACTTTGGGTGTAGTCATCGGAAAACGAGTCATTGCGGGGGTGGGTAGCCTCGCGCCACGGGACACCTGCCGACAACAAGCATACACGGCATATTATTATGCGCAAACAGCCGAGCTAATAGTGTACGGGGCACGTGCGTCACATTCGCCCTCTATACTGTTGCAGCATCAACACGTTCGCGCTATTATATTCGCACCCCCCTCCTCCTCTGAAATTTTGGGGGCCACTGTCCGTCCGAGCATCACAGCAACGGCAGAGAGATACAGCCACGAGGCCGTATCGGCCGGCCGCGATAAGGAACGATTTTCGTCGCGCCAGCAGTCGTTGGCCAAACTACGCCGCAGCTGTACCTACCTATACTATTATTATTATTATTATCATACGTGCACACACACACACACAAATATATATATACATATACCGATGGCACAGTATATATATATATACAAAGGGGTAGTAAAATGTAACCGTGTCCCACCATCGGAGAATTAATGCGGAGTCACGCGCGCTCCACCCTCCACCTTTTCCTTTGGTTGGCACTGTCTGGACTGTACTCGCTCCCTACCCACCGAGAGTACAGGTACATACAGACTAGTGTGTGTATACGGAGGGAGGAGAGGCTAACCCTGTGAAAGGCCCTGCGAGGGCAAAAACTCCTCAAATCGGACTGATCCGCGTGACTTAAATTCAAATCCCAAAGATGTATGTACACGAGGGCTAAGGGCACCCCCGTTCCATGTGTCTACCCCCCCGCAGATAAGAGGTGCGAAGGAGATTTTCTTTTTTTTTGTCCTCGCCTCCCTCCGTCGTCGGTTCACCCCTTCGAGGATGTACGTCGAGCTGTATTAGGGAGGCCGCGATGACGATTTTGCTCCGCGAATTAGCGGGATGTGTCTTCCCCGACAGCGCCCACCGAGCCGTGGGATGTATTTCGATCCCGGCGCGTCGGGACTTTAATTTGTACTTTTCGAGTCCCACCCCCTCGGGACAAGAGGATGTGTGTATATGTACGCGTCTCGTGGCAATTTGCCCTCTGATGCTTGTGCCCCGTGGAGCGTGAATTTTCACGAAAATAATGTTGGTATCTGATCTAATCGAGCCCCCCCCCCTCCTCCCTCCCTCTTGACATCTCGATTTATTTTCCACCCAACTTTCTTGCCACCACCCACAATGTGGATCATTACTATCATTTTTATATATATACGTGTACAGGCTTGGATACCGTTTTGCAAGTGTTTCCGAGCACTTGGTTTTTACGGTCACGGCGAGCGTGTTTTTTTTTCCCCCCCCATCGTTAGGAATGACCGAAAGGAGAAAATATCCGAGCCGCGACGTAATCTCGTCGTAAAAAAAATCCAGAGCTGTTTATAGTTGGCGAATTTCTAGCTGGCGAGACGTGTAGTTTGATTTTTTTTTTTTTTTTTTTTTTTTACGAGGACCCGGGGGCAAGAGAAGAAGGAGCCCCCTTTCGAACAGCAGCCGTGTGTTGTGTAGAGATCAGGAGGGTGGGATGCAGAGGGGGACCGTTGTCGCCCGGCAAACTACCAACTCTAATTTGATCCTCGGAGGAAGGACCGAGTGGGGGGGTTGGGGCTCTCTGTGCCGGGCGTTTGACGCGAAATTTGATTTGGACATTTTAATATTGGTAGGCTAAAATGCAATTCCGACGATTTCTCCCCCCGTGCGTACACGTCTTCGTAGTAGTGACGAATCGGTGTTTATTGCTCGCGGGCCCCCGTAAGCGCTCCCTCGGGCCGGCGTGCCCGTATACGTATATCCGCCTCTCATGTATACACCTACTCCTCTCGGTGCTGGCTCTTCTTCCGAGGATTATGGGCACGCCGAGGAAATAAAAAGGAACCAGAGATCTGCAGGCGCTCTCTCTCTCTCTCTCTCGAGTTGTTTCGATTGGCTCGTCGCTGGCACTCGATTGCCAATTTCGCACCACGCACCAGCGACTACATTTATATTACGATCATCACGAGGGATGTACGCACATATACATATATACATGTTGTATATTAATACATAGCGACAGCGTTGGTGGTGGTGGTGGCGATGATTGGGGGTGTGCCTATATATGTGTATATGCCCGCGTTGCGAGTCGTTCCAGTTGGCTGACTCTGTAGTTTTACCGACGCAGATAGTGATTCCTTGGCGCGCGTTAATTAATTGATTGGTCCCCGGGCTGGGCCAATAACGGAGCACCAAGTGCAGCTACCCCCGATGCAGTATACATGTATACATCTACAAGCAGTCTTCCGGAGCGACGCGCCCTCATTACAATTTTACGCGGCAATTAACTCCCCTGCTTCGGTTCTCTCGCGCAATTGCCTCGATCGAACAACTACTAGCTTTTGCACTTATTCCTTTTCTCGGCTCTCTCTTCGCACCCGCCCACCGAGTGGAAGGTAAAGGGGGGGGGAAAGGAGAAAAGGGTTTTTCCCTATTGATCGGGCGTTTCTTATTTCGCGCAGGAAGGGGGGAAAAAACAACTACCACAACACCGATGGATCGAGCGCGTATGGGAAACATTCGTGCATCGGAATTCGTTTATCAGAGCTCGGATGATAAAAATAACACCCGATAACTTTGCCGGGTGATGGGGGGGGGGGGCTTTACTTTCATTGTATCGGATTCCGAAATTTCGCGCGCGCGCGCCCACCGACATCCCGAAATAAGAAGTTGGGATTGAAAGAGTTTATAAATTTCCCTATCGCGCGCTCGGGAAAACCGATAAAAAGTTTTTCCCCGGGAGCGAATCCTTCGGGGGGATGGAGGGGGGGGGGCATTCTCGGGAAGGAAAACTTTCTAAATTATTAAATTTCTCGAGAAAAGTTTGGCCAGCGAGAGGTCGAGAGGCGCGTGTGTACCGTGCGCGAACGGATGCAAATGCGCGGGGATTAAAACCCGCGCTCGGTCGAAACACCACAGGATACGAGATTAAGCCACGCGTGCATATAATATATGTACATACAGCCATGATACAAGAACAAACGGTATGGTATGTATGCTGTATGTACATATAATATATGTACATACATGTGGGCATACGTGGGTACCACGGTATGCGTATATATAGGTACAATAAATAATATAATATAGACGCGAGCCCTCGTAAGCCCCCGAAATCCCGCAGATAAACTCGAAAAGATATAATTTAATGGTATCAGTCATGGTTATATCTCCATTAGATTGGGGCCATTTGTTGACTTATTATTACCCATACATGCGTTTTAAATGTGGCCACGGACCCCTGCCGTCACACATACGTACGCACATTTGCTTGTGTGTCGTTTCAACGCGCGATTGTACAGCTAAACTCTGTCGTAGTGTAGGTGCATTGGTGTAGGCATTGCATATCCCTTAGCGTGTGCACAGAGTGTACATGTATAAGGTACAAGCCGAGCCAGATGGCACCGACGACTGTGTACAAGTATATACGGCGATGCAGGACACAATCGATGCGCGCGGCGCAACGCCGAGCCTTCCCGGGTGTGTGACCCACCCTTCCACTCTGCCGACTACCCCCCTATACATGGCTGTGTGCATGTGCGCGTACGTCGCCTCTTCCTGCGTCTCCTTGCGCAAATACACCTCAATTTCGGTTAAATCGCGTAGAAAAGGGGAAAAAAAAAGGAAAAAGGAGAAACCGTCGTACGAGCATATGACAAACGAAGCGTAAAGCCCGTTAAACAACAACAATGAGGGAAACGTGGAAGAAGAGAAGAAAAGTATATAGAGTAGGTATATGTGTGTATTAAGAGTGTAGGGAAAAAACTCCGGAGTTTTTGCTGCTAAAAAAAGAAAAAAAAAGAAGCGCAAAAACGAATGATAATAAATCCACGGAAGGGATTACCGTTGAAATGATTGTAACAACATTTTTTATCCGTACTCCGAAGTTATAGAAGAACGGGATCTCTGCCGACATTATTTG